TTAAAAATTCCCAGGCAAGGTTCAGTAAAAAACAGATTGAATATTAAGCAACAGGTGAACATGGCTGAGCCTCACACAGAGGTGAGATTGGATCAGAACTACTCTCTGGAAAAATCATTGGCAACATTCACACTATTGCTTACAGGTCGTTTAAGGTACAACAAGAAAAAAAATAGCAATAGCAACAAACAAATTTCAGTCAATCAAACAAGAAATATTCTGAGTAGAGTGTGTGTGTGTGTGTGTGTGTGTGTGTGTGTGTGTCTTTAGGTGCTTTTGAGAAAGGGACAGCAAGGACAAGGCTAAAAAGGAATACGGCCTAAAAGCTTAACAGCACTCCAGCTTAACAGTGGTTAAAATGGAGCCTCCAGGAGTGGGGCTGTTGGCCTACGATCCATTGCTGATCAGTGATCCTGCCAGTGCAGCAAACGTGAGAGCTCGCTGCCCCTGAGAGGCCCCACTCAGAGGGAGGTTGCTGCTGGCAACCACTGTGCTCCAGGAGAGCTCCAAGGGCCTCCTTTGCAGGGCTCTTTATGGGCCACAAGAGAGTGGGCCTCAGCCATAAAATGCTTCCTCATGGCTGCACTGCGGGTCAGCAGCCTGACTCGGAAAGTGGGAGAAGAAGGATGCCATGCCATTCAGGCAAGAAAAGTGGTTTCCAAGGCTGTTCCCAGACACCCCAGGAGCTCGTTAGACAACACAAGTTCCTGGGAGCGCTGCGTGTCCCTGATAAGCTCAGCAGGAGCTGAGCCCAGGGGCTGTTCGGCAAGGCCCAGGCCTGACAAGCGTTTCCCAGATCACCCTGGGGCCGCACAAGGCCGGGCCCATTCACCACCACAATCTGAAGCACCAAGTTTTGATGGAGGGTAAAAAGCCATGACCCAGTGGAAGTGGGCCATGTCCTCAGGCCTATGGGAGAACCACAATGCAGATCCTTGTGCTGCTGATTCCATCTCTCCCCTCTTTTCTAAGTTCTTGGGGGCAAGGTCACTTAGCTTAGACACACCGCTCACAAGCAGTGCTCCTGCAGCTTTCTGCTCAACGAATTAAAGTGAGATTACACACCCCAGATCATGTTCGGTTATGATTTAACTGACTGATTTGATGAATTTCTGGAACAGCAAACTTGCTTCCTCAAATATTTACTGTGTTCGCCATGGAGCACAGAGGAAAGATTTAATGTCAAAGGCATCGCCAAGGCAATGCTCTTCTGACAAGTTCTGCCCTGAGCTTTCCTTAGGAAGATCCAAAAGCTTCAATGTCACCAGCACAAGCTCCTGCAATGGCTGCTGGCCAGCAGAGCAGGGCTGTCAGCTGTGAAACAAGTGTTGCCACAAGCAGCAGCTCCCCCAGGGCAGCAAATCAAGAGCTGGGAAGGAGCTGATCTGAAGGCCAAAGCTCCTTAGCTCCTTCCAAGAGGGCTGCAACAGTTCTTCATTCCAATGAGCTGCAGTGCTGGACACCACAGCTCTGTGTGAGCACTGGACACAAGTTGCTCCCACTGAGGCCTGTGATGGTTTCTGCAGGAGCTCTGGGCTCCTGTGCGTGCCGGACACAATGAGGAGAGAAAGAGCCAAGTGCACTGACAAACCTTTGCCTTGGGCATAGCCTGGCCTGGACCAAACACCCTGAAAGGTTTCCCCTTTGACCCATGTCTCGAAAGGTCAGGTCAGCTGTTTGATGACTCAGGTTGTTTTGGTATCAAGGAATTTCCCTCAGAAATACGGGGTTTGTCTTTCTCTGTGCCTTCCCCTCAGCAGCTTTGGGGAGGCTCCTGTGTGAAGCCATCTGTCTCACACAGTTGCAGACAACTTAAAACACAACACTCTGTAATAAGTCGTCTCCTCTAATGTGTTCCAACAATCCCCTTCCAGCAATAGGAAATTAATACTAATAGATGAAAGTGGAAAGAAACCAACAGTTTATTAACAAAGAGAAAGCCTACAATGCAAGACAGAAGGCCAGTAATTTCTGGATATCAAACTCTCAGACCTCACTGTGCCCTCACTGGAACAAAGACCCAAAATGCCAGAGGAAAATCCCCCCAGGACTCGCGTTCCAAGATGGCGCCGAGTTCTCCCTCAGGAAGAACAGGAGCTATCACGGAGTAGTTCCAGTAGCAGATGAAAGTTCAGGGGCTTGTCCAGCATCGACTTTCTCCCAGTGGCAGAGCTCCGTGGAGCAGCCACGGCAGGTGAAGCAGCTGGGCTGGAGCCCCTCGGTGTCTTTTCTCCCCGCTGTGGCTCAGCTCACACACTCTGGGGCTGGGAGCGGGGCCGCTCCGTTTCTGCTGGCACCGTGTCCCTGGGCTTGGACAAACAGATTTCTGCCAGGAGAGCCCTGCAGACTGTTCCACATATCTCTCACAAAGGCCTCAAACAACAACTGCAAACACTCTGCCTACGGCAGCTTTCACAAAGGGCTGCAGAAATCCAGGACAAATTAAAGGGAGAGGCAGAAGGCTTTTGTCTTGTTCCTGACACCAGAATTCTTGATGATCTGATGCAATTTGATTCAGATATAACATGAGATCTGAGTTTTTCCATTGAAATATTTCATGATAAGTAACAAGCCTTGGGACCACGAGGTACAGCACTGACATGGGAAACCATGGGCATATCATCTAAAACGACCAGTTTAATTTTCCATTTTATTACTCTTGTATTTATTGCACAACTCATAGGCAACTCCAAGCTTTGCTTGGAGGCAAAACAGGTATGGGATACACTACAGTCCCTTGCAGAGCCCCCAGGGTGCTAGGGCTGGCAGTGACAAAGCAGGCAGTCTGCTTCATTGTGAACCACTACAGAGCTACATCCCAATGTGTTTTTAGGAAGCACTGAATTATTAAGCTCCCTTTTTCTGCATGAGATACAAAAAGGAGGTCCCAAATGATTTTCATGCAAGCATCCAGTAAAGAACTGATCCTGCTCTCCTAATGAAGCTTTGGCTTTGGAATTATACTCTGCTCATTCATCCTTTGACTCAGATACTCCAGGTTTGCCCCCACTCCCCTGCAAGGCTGGCAGTCACTGTTTCCCATTTACTGTTCTTCCCTAGAGCCAGTACAGTGGCTGCTTTGAAACTAAAAGCCCTGAGATCTGGATATCTTGAAGGAGCATGAAATGCTAATCAAGTGTTCCCATTGGTAATACCCAGGTCTGCACTTGCCAGAGCTCTGAAGCAGCAGCAGGAGGACCATGCATCATTGCTGTTTGTGGATGTTCACGTTCCTGGTGGGCAAGAGCAATGGCTTTGAGGAGGGACAAGAATGCCCCTCTTCCAACAGTGGCTGAGAAAGGAGATGTGAAGTTTCACTGCCATTTTTTTAAGATATTATTGAATCATATAAGAAAATATTGCAGCATAGAGCTGGTCCCTAATTGTGTCTCCAGAGAAATCCCCAAAGGAGACATTCAATCTCCTGCTGATGGCAACCCCATAAGCTCATGGACCAGTTTTCCCTGAAACATGCCACCCTGCTTGGGCTTTACTAGGCCAGAATTAAACCCATAGCTAAGCAAACACATGTGGCACAAGACATAGAGTTTTTTCCATCAGAAAACCTAATTAACACATTCACATGCAGTTTCTTCTGTAACATCAGAAGCTGGCAACCATGAGGACTTTGCTGGCAAAAGGTTACTTTATGCACTGGGACCAGAAGTGGTTTTCCTTAAGGCAAAGCAAATTGAAATGTGAAGGGTAAAAGTTTCAAATGACTATAAAAAAACCCTGCAAAATAATTTCAGGGTACGCGTTCTGGTTTGAAAGCAAAACCAGTGAGAGACTCCCAAGTCAGAAATACAATTTATTAGGAAAAGGACACTTTTCCTAATAAAATACATTTATTAGGAAAAGGAAAAAAAAATCCACCAAATTACCCCATCCAATGTACATTCAATCATACAAAAGAAAAGCACTGACAGAGTCAGAATCCAAAATGACATCCTCTTGGTCAGGGTGTTGGTAGCAGTCCAGTTGGATTGGTGGCTACACTCCTCCTGGAGTAGCAGATGTGATCCTATAGAAGGGAGTAGTCTTCCTCTGAAGATCCAGTGGAAAAGGCGGCTCTGGGAATCCAGTGGAAAGGCTGCTTGTTCTGTCCCAAACTCCAGATTATATGTAGGTGTGGATGCTTAATTCCTCCTCCCTGGGCACAGCATCTCACAATGGGCTGTTATCATTCCATGAGTCATGGGGTGGGTGCATGAGACAGAAAGGGCTCCCACAGGGAATTATCTCTGAGTCATGGGGAAAGGCATTGATGGGCCTATTAACAGGAGATAAGGAAAAGAACAATTCCCCTCCTGGTTTCAACAGCTTTTGGAGATGGGAATAGAATATATTTTATATTGTAACCAAGGACAATAGGGAGCATTGTCAATGATCATGCAGCCAACCAAGAGCTGGAGCTGAATCCAGAATTGCTTGTTCCAGCTATGCAGGAATTCTTTACCCTGGCAAGCACAGCTCCATGGGAACAAATGATCTCTCATCTCTGGGCTGAATTGTAGCATTGTGTGTCCTGTATGAGTTTTATTGTAAAGTTGGTTATTTTTCATAAGTTAAGATTTGGGTTTGACTCTCGGTTCCCCCATGTTCTCCCTCCTAATGGTTTGTTCCTCCCGCCAGTTACCTGTCTATCATTGTAACCAACCCCCTTTCATTTTGAGAACTTTCTATGTCAATCTTCCCTTACTTAACATATGATTTGTCCCCTGAGCCTTCTCCCTCCCCTGGGCCATTCCTATTGGTTCAGGTGTGTCCCTCGGTCCTGCCCTGAGCTTCGTTCATTGGTCCCTCGTGGCTCCTCGTGTCACGCCCTTCCCCTTTATAAGTGCCTCCCCAACGGTTTTTCCCTGACACCGTTACTGGCCCCGCCTGGGTCAGTAAAGCACCTTGGCATCCATTCGTGTGTCCACTCCCTCCTTCCTTCGCCTCAGTACTTCGCAGTCCTGCTCTCGCCTGCGTCACCACGCTGCAGACAGAGCCACTACTCAGGGGTTCTCGCAGATATCCTGGGAGTGGCGGGATTCGTGGTCTGCACCGGTCACTCCGGGAGTGACTAGCCGGCGCCCGTCAGCTCCAGTGGCCGCGGGACGAGACTGCACTGAATGGCACCCAGACTGCAGCTTAGATTTGAGGGACTCTTGTCACTTGTTATTGGCTTCACAGTCCACTCATCCTTCTGCAAACAACTTGCAAACCACACAGCTGGACTGCTGTCCTGGGTAAATATACACACAGATGACTTTTCAAAAGCAGTACAACCTCTTCTTACCTATGAAATTGTGATTGAAGACACCTGTGAGCCAGATCTGTGTGAGATTGCAAAGGAGCAAAGCTTGGCCATTTGGGCACACTTCTCTTGGTTTCTTTGCTCAGGCCTTTGGTGAGCACAGAACACATCTAGTTAGAAAACTTTTGACTCGACAGGATCTTTTGGATCCCTTGTCCCCCAAATATGTCAATGTGTGGCCCTGTTGTAATGACACATTGTCCTGGTTCAGAGCAAATTTTGGAGAGAACCCCCAAAGGAGCTCTTTTAGTAAAGCAGATTCAATTGGCCCCTCTCTCCAACAGTCCAGGAGAAACTACCTCCTTGGAGAAAAGCGGAAAAAACTGTTTTTTCAACAATAAAACCTAAACAATATTAAACAATAAAACCCCTTTCCGCTCCAAAAGACATGACAAACTGAGAAAGCCCCATCCTCAGGTTGCAGCTCACTCAGTCTCTGATCAGTCCCTCCAGTGCTGGAAATGTCGAAGGCCAGGCCCGGCCCCGTGGGCCTCCGGTGCAGCTGCCGGTGCTCCCCTGGGTGTTCAGTCCAGAGCAGGCTTCAAGAGGTCCAAAGAAAAGGGAATAAAACCACAGTCCAGGGAACTTCTCTGCCTCAGCTAGCTAAACTAAATAAAAGCAAAAGAGAGCTCTGTCCCGCTGTCTGTCCATCTGCAGACAACACAGTCCGGAGCAGGAATGTGTAGGGGGAGGGCAGTGTCTGAAAACAAAACTGTGTGCTTCTACTCTCCCCCCTTCACTCTCCGGAACAAGTCTTAAAGGTGCAAAACTTATTATTCAGCCTAAACAGAACGAGACAATGGGGGATAAAAGCATCATATAGTCAACCCAGGGCACACGTTAAAAACAGCAGCACAAATGACACAAAGAAAACATGGCAAAAGAGGAAGAGGAGAGGCCCAATGAGGAAAGGAAGTGGTGAGACACAGGCACATCGAGTGAGCTGCACTCCCATAACCTCTAGGCTAGCAGGTCCTGGTGTCACAATCTCTTCTTTGGTTTCTTTAAATTTTATTTATTTTTTCAGTTTTTTAAAATCATCAAAATAAAATATATACAATTCAAATGATATCATCAAAACTTGAAGATACAATCAAAACACATTTATTTAAAACTACATCGAAATATCACATCTACAGAAATACATATTATATTTATAAATGTACATAAATAACTACATCTAAATAACATATGTACAGTTGTAACTATGAAGCTACAAACATAAATCCTGTTAGTGAAAAACTCTTCAGTCAGTCGGCAGCCTCTTCCTGATTTTTGAGGAAAGACAGTTCTTCTCGACTGGAGGCAAGACTTGGTTGATAACAGAAACATCAGAAGGTACCAGACAAAACCGCTTGGCAAGATTGTATCCACTCAGGCCTGCAAAGTGGAGACACAAAATGGATCAGAGCCTGCAATGCAAATCTAAAGCATCTGAAGCGCCATATTTCAGGGGACAGACTTCCTGGAAACAAGAATTCTTAACTGCTGCACAGGGAAAAATATTTCTGCTGTCAGACACTTGAGGCAGGCCAGGGGAAAAACGTGAGCCACTTCCCCAGAGCTGCCACAGGCACAGCCTGGCCTCTGGGCTGCCCTGGGACAGCAGGGAGCCCAGAGCCCTGTGCTCTCCAGCAATGGCTCAGCTGCACATGCACCCTGCTGCTCCTCTCCCTGCCCCACAGCTCAGCAGCCCTACAGCTCCAGGGCCACTGGCAGCAGCACAGCTCCTTGCAGGGGGCACATGCAGGGCTCAGCTGTTCCCTGCCAATGTGCACAGCCTCTCTGCGCTGCCACAAGACCCTTCCTCCCAACAGAGAGCAGCCCAGCTCCCACCTCACCTTTTTCTGAGGCTGATCCGTGCCCCTGGGGCTCCTGGGCCAAGGCCCTCTGAGGTGCCCAGGAGCCCAGACCACCATTCCCAAGGCCGCGTTCTGGCACAGAAATATCCAAACCAAAGAGGTCCGTGAGTTCCATTGGGAACAGAGGCATCCCAGGTCCTATCTTACACTGAGAGCTCTCTTCCTCCTTTCTCTGGGTATTTGCTGTAGGTTCAGAAGAAGCTGTCAACCAGGTACAAAAGAAGAAGTGAGTTAATTGAACTCATGCCTTTATAATCAGCCCTTCTAATAGGTGAGGAATTCAGGTGTATTTCAGTTACTGAAAAGATTGCTTAGTTTTTTTTTTTCTTGAAACTAGCATCACTTTAATTTCTCTGAACAATATGGAGCTGCAAAACCAAGAGAGAAGGGTTCTACTACTTCAAGTGCTGCCTGTTGCCTCCCTACTACTACAGGATCCCTTTCCTTCCAAAACACTTGGGAATTCACAGTGCTCTCTAGAACCTGACACTGGCAAGGAAGTAATTGATTTCAAAAGGAGTTTTCAAAGCCTTTGTTTCTGTATTTCTCACTCAATTCTAGGTCAGGTTCTGCAGTTTTGGGGATTTTTTTATATTAGTCTTCACATAAAGGAAGATCTGGGACGCAAACAATGGCACCACGTGGTAGATGTAAAAGCAGCTTTGCTTTCTCCATGAGATGTGCCCAGTATTCTGTGAGCCTGTATTTGTAGGGAACAAAGTGCTCATCCCAATGTTCCACTTGTGCTCTACTTACTTCTTCCAGGGGTTTATTCTCTGCTTTCTTTTCACCACAGACATCCAAACCCAAATAAACACAACCTATCTCAAAACAATTCTGATCTTGGCTAATACTGACAATTCAAAATGTCCTTAATGGAAATAGCTGATGGCCAGTCATTCTGAAATACTCCCCAACTGAGCTGTTAGAACTAGGAGAACTAATTCTTTACATGCCTTCAGAGAGGAAAAAATCATGTGGCAGTCAAGCACTATGAGAAGAAAAGCTCTCTTAAAACTGAATTCTTTCACCCTGCAGAATGCTCAGGTCAGTAGCAAAAGTAAGACAGGAAAGGATTAATGAGATAAGTAATTTGTAGTCCAGAATTAATGTCGTAAAAATGTCACCATACTTACTTAGTAATACTTCTCCCTAGCTGCATTAGGCATTCAAGCTGCAGATCAGCAATGAAGGAGTCATTCCAAAGGGGCCATAACCAGGATTTGGCAGAAATAACTTTAAGTCAAGGAACCAGGGAATCTGATCCCTTTCTCTGCATCAGCAGAATTATTTCTCCAAATCCCATCTCCCCTATCATTACACACCCAGAGATGCCAAAGGAACAACAACAGTGTCAATGAGGCTTTCAACAGCATTGCCTGTCCCAGATGCACCAGAAACTGCATTTTGTCTGGCACAATTCCACTTGTCAGGGATCAGGCAAGGCAGGGACAGGCACAAGGCACAAGGCATCTCCTGCCCCAGCCTCAGCCTGCAACACTGACACAGGCACAGACAGCCAGGGAAGAGATTTGTCATTGTGAACCTGCCAGAGGTGGCTTTGGGACTGTGCTGTCAGAGGATGACAAACTCACACCCTGCCTAGGATGCATCCATTTGGAAGTCTCCTTCTCCTTCTCTGGAAAAGTCAAAGGGACCTTCTATCATAGGAAGTTTCCTTATTCCTCCCAATGCAAAACCAGGAACTGTGCATGAATCGCCTTCACATCTCAGAGGATTCAGCTCAGAAACAGCCCCAAGGAAAGCTTTTCTCCTTCAAGGGCAGGTGAAAGGTAACATTCCTCAATTCCTGCTAAATGCCTACCTTTTTGAGTCTCATTTTGACATGAGATAGGCTGCTGGGAGATAAAAGTCATGTGCAGGAGGGAGAGGAATGTTTCCTTTTCCTGGACAGCATTTCCAGGACCCCAAGGTACAACTGCAGCTCCTGCCACTGAACTCTTCACACTGACTGGAGGGATTTTCACTGCAACACTGGAGAACTCTCCCAAGGGACTTGGCTCTGGGAGAGTCGACTCTGCCCATCAAGGAATGGAAACTTTCAAAAGATTTTGTTTTAACCAAGCTTTCCAATTGTCACCTCAGAGTCAAGACTAGAAAGGTCATTTTAGGACAGACATGACCTGTACCTACCTGCATCTTCAAAGAACTTCTCTTCACTTCTGCTGCTGGATCCTGGCCTGGAGAAGATGGAAGACAAAAGAAAATGTGAAGAGGTAGAAAGAGAAGAGAGGGAAGGGGTGTACCATGAAAGGAAGAGAACCTTCTCAGCATGGACACTTCTGTGAAGGAGGGGATGCAACACATAAACCCAAAATCGCACCGAGCTGGTCAAGCTCAGGCTGTTACAAAAGCCAAGTCCAGCAGGGGACCCAGCCTGAGATGCTTTGTAGCCCGGCCTCCTCTTCCCCACCACCACCTCTGCTCTTGGGGCATTGCTGATGGGTTTGACATTGGATGGGCAAAATGCTGAATACACCCAGGTTTGCCTGAATACATGGAACAGCTGACTGTGCAAAATCACCACAGGAGATGGAAGAGAGGGGTGAACAGCACAGTGGAGCAGCAGACACCTTGGCTTACCTCATCTCCCAGGACTCCTGCAAATCCACCTGGGGAGAGCTTGGCAGAGACCCCACAGCATTGTCAAGAGGGAGACTGCCTGCCTTGCGTATTGGGGGGATCAAAGGCAGTCCAAATGATGCCTTCTTCATTTCCCCATCACTGGGATATGGCAAGGAGGTCTGGAAAGAGTAGAACACAGTGCTCAGATGAAGCATCCTGCCTTGCCCACATTCATAACTCAAGACTTTTGTATATGTCCTCAACTGGAACGTGGCAAGAATAAACAGGTCAAAATGATGGAGCAAACTGGCAGAGGATGGGCAATGGAAAGGGAACTGTTGAGGGAGAGACCGTGTTCCACATTGGACACCTCTCCCCTCCTGCTCCCTCCTCTGCAAGTGTGCCGACATTCCCACCTGGCATCCACATCCTTGACATCAAGGTGTTCCAGAGTGCCACTGCCTCCACTGCCTTTTGGATGGCATGGCAGTGGTTTAGATCTCTGTTCTGTCCCTGCCCCTAAGGTGGCTCACAGCCACTGCTGATCTCCAGCCATGGCCCCACAAAGCCATTCTGCAGGATGCCAAAACCTGCTTTTCTCAAGGCCCTCATTTCTTCTGCTGCTGCCCTTCCCTCCTACACTTCCCCAGCAGCCTTTGAGCCCAGATGCTGCTGAGCTCTCGCCATGCTCACTGCTCTCCAGCTCCCACACATCCATCAGCTCAGGCTCACTGGCATTTAGCAAGTTCAGCAGAGCTCCCTGCCCTGCTGCTCTCTGCAAGCTCTCTGCCTGCCCAAGCTGCTCCAGGGGCCCCATGCCATGGCCAGGAATGGGGCTGGAGGCACTGGGGTAAATGCACCCCCATCCTTAGTATCCCATCAATTCTGGCCCAGCTGAAGAGCCAAATCAGGACCTCTTCAAAGTTCACTGAAAGGGTCAGTTCCTGTCAGGGATACATTGGGCCCTTTCTCTGCAAGGCTGAAATCAAGTACCCAAGCCTTGGATTGCACATTCTCTCTACCAAAGCTGTTGTTCATCTGCCTCCTCCTGCACCCCACGGCAAACCCAAAACAACTGCAGCTCCTGGCCCTGCTGCAAAGGCCATCGTGTGCCTGGGCTCTGGGCTGCTCTCCCCATGGCCACCTCCCATCCCTTCCCTCTGCACAAAGCCATGCCAGAGCACACAGCTGCCCAGGAGCTGATGGAGTCTGCAAATAGCATCAGAGACAACTGTGCAGAGGGCAAGGCTGTACAACTCACAAGCTGAGACAACCTCACTTGGCAGCTTCCAGCAAACACCTTCTTCCATCCAAAGCTGTCACAGCTGACATAAAACACCACCAAGACATAGAGGTGCTTCACAGATACCCATAGGTTACTAACTGGTGAAGGATTGCTTTTCCAGATTGAACAACTTGAGCTGCTCTGACTGCTTGTTGGGGTTTTCTCAGCCATAAGACACACGAGGAACCACGACACAGCCCAGAAACCATTCAAAGACCTCTCCTGTTATTGATACATGCTGAGGACATGAAGTCTGCTCTTCACACCCATTGCTAAGACGGCCTGAAGCACAGTTTCCAGCTGAGCTCTTCCTTGGCTCAGCTGCTTCCCTGGGCTCACAGCACAGGAAAAGGTCTCCAAGCTCTGCCTACAGCACATGAACTGAAAATCTGCCATACAGGACTTAGTCCTTGGTCTCCTTACCTCATGTCCTTTTCCCGCTGAACTCTGCTCCTGGCTGCTTCTTCTGATATCATTGTATCAGGTGCTAGTTTTTCCTTTCTCTTTCTCTCCATCATACATAGCACTTGGCTTGATGGGAGAAGAGCTCTTTGGGATGGGAGGCAAAGGCTTGGATGGAAGGAGTGAAGAGGGACGTGTTTGTGGAAGACTCTTGGAAATACTGGAGTCAGTCAGGCCTGCAAAGTGGAGATACAAAATGTAACAGAGCCCACTAAGTAAATCTAAAGCATCTGAAGCACCATATTTAAGGGGACAGACTTCCTGGACACTTCTATACAACTGCACAGGGAAACATGCTCCTGCTGGCAGACACTTGAGGCAGGCCAGGGGCAAACCCTGAGCCATTCCCCAGAGCTGCCACAGGCACAGCCTGGCCTCTGGGCTGCCCTGGGACAGCAGGGAGCCCAGACCCTGTGCTCTCCAGCAATGGCTCAGCTGCACATGCACCCTCCTACTCCTCTCCCTGCCCCACAGAAAAAAACTGGCCAACCAATTGTAAATTGCTGCTTTTGCTCTGCTGAATTATTCCTTGGGGTTTTTTCCCTTCTTTCTTTTCCACAGACTCAACCAAACCCAAAAAAATTCCAAAATATTCAATGCAAATTGGAGTGTGCACGCCATTAATAAATACTCTGCAACTGAGCTGTTAACACTCAGAGTTAATTCTTTACATGGTTTCAGAAAGGATAAAATCATGTGGCATCCAAGTTGTTAGAGAGGAACCCCTGTCTTAAAAATGAATTTCTTTCCCTCTGCAGAGTATCCTGATCAGTCGTAAAGGAGAGATGGGTCAGGCTTAATGACATAAGTCATCCCTAGCCCAAGAAAACTGACAACTCCTTTGATGAGCAACACCAATCTCTAGCTGCATTCAGCATTCCAGTTGCATACCAGCAATTAAGGAGTCATTCCAAAGGGGTCATAACCAGGTTCTAGCAGAACTAACGCTAAGCCAAGGAACGATGGCATCTGGTCCGTTTTTCTGCAACAGCTGAGTTATTTCTCCAAGTCTCATCTCCCCTATCATTACACGCCCAGAGATGCCAAAGAACCACCAACAGTGTCAATGAGGCTTTCAACTTGAAAGCATTGCCTGACACAGAAGCACCAGAAACTGCATTTTGTCTGGCACAATTCCACTTGTCAGGGATCAGGCAAGGCAGGGACAGGCACAAGGCACAAGGCATCTCCTGCCCCAGCCTCAGCCTGCAACACTGACACAGGCAGAGACAGCCAGGGAAGAGATTTGTCACTGTGAACCTGCCAGAGGTGGCTTTGGGACTGTGCTGTCAGAGGATGACAAACTCACACCCTGCCTAGGCTGCATCCATTTGGAAGTCTCCTTCTCCTTCATTGGAAAAGTCAGAAGGACTTTCTATCATAGGAGGTTTCCCTAGTCCTTCCAGTGCAAAACCAGGCAATGTCCCTGAATCTCCTTCACATCTCAGAGGATTCAGCTCAGAAACAGCCCCAAGGAAAGCTTTTCTCCTTCAAGGGCAGGTGAAAGGAGTGGGAACATTCCTCAATTCCTGCTAAATGCCTACCTTTTTGAGTCTCATTTTGACACCAGAAATGCTACAGGGAGATAAAAGGCATGTGCAGGATGGAGAGGAATGTTTTCTTTTCAGCGCTGCATTTCCAGGACCCCAAGGTACCACTCCAGATCCTGCCACTCAACGCTTCACACTTGAGGAATTTTCCCTGCATCACCAGAGAACTCTCCCAGTGACTGGGCTCTGGGAGAGTCCACTGAGCCCGTCAAGGAATTGAAATGAATTTAAGGAATTTGTTGAAAGAATGGGTTTTAACCAAGCTTTCCAAATGTCACCTCTAAGTCAAGATTCCAATGGTCAATTTAGAACAGACATGACCTGTACCTACCTGAATGTTCAGAGGACTTCTCTTGGCTTCTGCTGCCGGATCTTGGGCTGGAGAAAATGGAGTAAAAAGGACATATGAGGAGGTAGAAAGAGAAGAGAGGGAATGGGTGTACCATGAAAGGAAGCAAACCTTCTTAGCATGGACACTTCTATGAAGGAGAGGATGCAACACATAAACCCAAAAGGATGCAAAGCTGATTAATTGTCCTTAAGATTACAGTTGCTGGAGTCACCCAGAGCAGGCCAAGCTCAGGCTGTTATAAAAGCCAAGTCCAGCAGGGGACCCATCCTGAGGTGCTTTCAAGCCCTGCCTCCTCTTCCCCACCACCACCTCTGGGCTTGGGGCATTGCTGTTGGGTTTGACATTGGATGGGCAAAATGCTGAATACACAGAGGTTTGCCTGAATACATGGAACAGCTGACTGTGCAAAATCACCACAGGAGATGGAAGCAAACAGCACAGTGGAGCAGCAGACACCTTGGCTTACCTCATCTCCCTGGACTCCTGCAAATCCACCTGGGGAGAGCTTGGCAGAGACCCTGCAGCTTTGTCAAGAGGGAGACTGCCTGCCTTGCATATTGGGGGGATCAAAGGTTGTCTCAGTGACCCCTTCTTCATTTCCCCACCACTGGCATATGGCAAGGAGGTCTGGAAAGAGTAGAACACAGTGCTCAGATGAAGCATCCTGCCTTGCCCACATCCATAACTCAAGACTTTTACATATGCCCTCAACTGGAACGTGGCAGGAAAAAACAAGTCAAACTGATGGAGCAAATTGGCACAGGATGGGCAATGGAAAGGGAACTGTTGAGGGAGAGACCGTGTCCCACCTTTGACACCTCTCCCCCACCCCGTTCTCTCCTCTGCATGGGTGCCTACATTCCCAGCAGGCATCCACATGTTGTGGATAAACTGAAAATCTACCATACATGACTTAGATTGGTGTCCTCACCTTATGTCCTTTTCTCTCTGAATTCTGCTCCTGCCTGCTTCTTCCAATATCATTGCCACCAGTGCCACTTTTCCCCTTCTCTCCATCAAACATCTTGCTTGGCTTGATGGGAGAAGAGCTCTCTGGGATGGGAGGCACGAGTTTGGATGGAAGCAGTGAGGAGGGAAGTGTCAGTGGAAGACTCTTGGAAATACTGGAGTCAGTCAGGCCTGCAAAGTGGAGATACAAAATGTAACAGAGCCCACTAAGTAACTCTAAAGCAACTGAAGCTCTGTATTTCATGGGACAGACTTCCTGGAAACTTGTAAGCAGCTGCACAGGTAAACATGCTCCTGCTGGCAGCAACTTGAGGCAGGCCAGGGGAAAACCCTGACCCATTCCCCAGAGCTGCCAGAGGCACAGCCTGGCCTCTGGGCTGCCCTGGGACAGCAGGGAGCCCAGAGCCCCGTGCTCTCCAGCAATGGCTCAGCTGCACATGCACCCTGCTGCTCCTCTCCCTGCCCCACAGCTCAGCAGCCCTACAGCTCCAGGGCCACTGGCAGCAGCACAGCTCCTTGCAGGGGGCACATGCAGGGCACAGCTGTTCCCTGCCAATGTGCACAGCCTCTCTGCGCTGCCACAAGACCCTTCCTCCCGCCAGAGAGCAGCTCAGATCCAACCTCACATTGGTGTGTGGCTGAGCCATGCTCACAAGGCAAGAGGTGAGTTGGGTGAACTCCCACCAATACAATCAATCCATCTCACGGATAAGGCATCCAAGGAGTTTTTGTACTATTCAGTAGAGTGCTGTGGTTTTATTTTTCATGAAACCAGCCTCACGACAATTCCTCTGAACGGCATGGGGCTGGCAAGCCAGGAGAGAAGGCTTCTGCAGCTGTGCTTATCTGTTGCTCCTTGCTCATCTACTACTTTGAAATCCCTTTTCATCTAAACTGTTGGCAAACCCCTGTGGTATCCAGAATTTGACAATTCCACCTAGGAAGTAATTGCTTTCCCAAGCTACTGTTCATGGCCTTTGTTTTTGTAACTCCCACCCAGTTATGGGTCAGGTTTTGTTCATTGCTTTTATTGCTCTTGACGACAGAGGAAGTGCTCGTACCTGAACAATGTCACCTCATGTTGGAAGAAGCTTTGCAATCCATATTACATATCCCCCAATATACAAGGAGTCTGTATCAACAGGGAAAAAAACTGGCCATCCAATTGCAAATTGCCACTTTTCCTCTGCTTCACTGTTCCATGGGGTTTTTCCCTGCTTTCTTTCCCACAGACACAACTAAACCCAACATAAAACATGACCTGCCTCAAAATATTTGTAATGTTGGCTAATACTGACAATTGAAAATGTCCTTAATGGAAACCGCAGAGGGGAAGTAGTTCTGAAATACTCTCCAGCTGAGCTGTTAACACTCAGAGAGTTAATTCTCTACATGGTTCCACAAAGGATAAAATCATGTGGCAACCAAGCTGTTAGAGAGGAACACCTATGTAAAAACTGATTTCTTTCCCTCTGTAAAAGGTCCCGGTCAGTAATATAGATGGAAAGGTAAGGATCAATGAGATAGGTCCTTCCTAGTCCAGAATTAAGCCAGCAAAACTGACAACTCCTTTGTAGAGTAACACCAATCTCTAGCTGCATTCAGCATTCCAGTTGCATACCAGCGATGAAGGAGTCATTCCAAAGGGGCCATACCAAGGATCTAGCAGAACTAACGCTAAGCCAAGGAACCAGGGGATCTCACCCCTTTCTCTGCATCAGCAGAATTATTTCTTCAAGTCTCATCTCTCCTATCATTACACACCCAGAGATGCCAAAGGAACAACAACAGTGTCAATGAGGCTTTCAACTTGAAAGCATTGCCTGACCCAGATGCACCAGAAACTGCATTTTGTCTGGCACAATTCCACTTGTCAGGGATCAGGCAAGGCAGGGACAGGCACAAGGCACAAGGCATCTCCTGCCCCAGCCTCAGCCTGCAACACTGACACAGGCACAGACAGCCAGGGAAGAGATTTGTCACTGTGAACCTGCCAGAGGTGGCTTTGGGACTGTGCTGTCAGAGGATGACAAACTCACACCCTGCCTAGGATGCATCCATTTGGAAGTCTCCTTCTCCTTCATTGGAAAAGTCAAAAGGACTTTCTATCATAGGAGGTTTCCCTAGTCCTCCCAGTGCAAAACCAGGCAATGTCCATGAATCTCCTTCACATCTCAGAGGATTCAGCTCAGAAACAGCCCCAAAGGAAAGGTTTTCTCCTTCAAGGCCAGGTGAAAGGAGTGGGAACATTCCTCATTTCCTGCTAAATGCCTTGCTTTTCTAGTCTCATTTTGACATGAGAAATGCTACAGGTAGATAAAAGTCATGTGCAGGATGGAGAGGAATGTTTTCTTTTCAGCGCTGCATTTCCAGGATCCCAAGGTACCACTCCAGCTCCTGCCACTCAACGCTTCACACTTGAGGAATTTTCCCTGCAACACCAGAGAACTCTCCCAAAGGACTGAGCCCATCAAGGAATTGAAATGAAATTAAGGAATTTGTTGAAAGAATGGGTTTTAACCAAGCTTTCCAAATGTCACCTCTAAGTCAAGATTCCAATGGTCAATTTAGAACAGACATGCGCTGTGCCTACCTGAATGTTCAGAGGATTTCTCTTGACTTTTGCTGCTGGATCTTGTCCTGGAGAAAATGGAGTAAAAAGGACATATGAGGAGGTAGAAAGAGAAGGGAGGGAATGGGTGTACCATGAAAGGAAGCAAACCTTCTCAGCATAGACACTTCTATGAAGGAGGGGATGCAACACATAAACCCAAAAGGATGCAAAGCTGATTAATTGTCCTTAAGCTTTCAGTTGCTGGAGTCACCCAGAGCTGGAAAAGCTCAGGCTGAAATATTAGCCAAGTCCAGCAGGGGATCCATCCTGAGGTGCTTTCAAGCCTTGCCTCCTCTTCCCCACAACCATCTCTGGGCTTGGGGCATTGCTGTTGGGTTTGACATTGAGCTGCATCATCATAGATGGGCAAAATACTGAATACATCCAGGTTTGCCTGAATACATGGAACAGTTGACTGTGCAAAATCAACAACTGAGATGGGAAGAGTGAGGTGAGCAGCACACTGGAGCAGCAGACACCTTGGCTTACCTCATCTCCCTGCACTCCTGCAAATCCACCTGGGGAGAGCTTGGCAGAGACCCCACAGCATTGTAGAGAGGGAGACTGCCTGCCTTGCGCATCACGGGGATCAAGGATTTTCCAAATGCCCCCTTCTTCATTTCCCCACTACTGGAATAACGCAAGGAGGTCTGGAAGGAATCAAACACAGTGCTCAGATCAAGCATCCAGCCTTGCCCACATTCATGCCTCAGGACATTTAGATATACCCTCTACTGGGACGGGGCAGGAATAAACAAGTCAAACTGATGGAGTTGATAGGCACAGGATGGAGAATAGAAAGAGAACTGTTGTGGGAGAGATCATGTCCCACATTTCCAAGCTTTCTCATTTCCTTGGATAAATGGCTACATCTCCAGCTGCCATCCACATGTTTGACATCAAGATGTTCTGGGGAGCCACTGCCTCCCCTGGCCTTTGGGATGGCATGGCAGTGGCTTTAGATCTCTGTTCTCTCCCTGCCCCTAAGGTGGCTCACAGCCACTGCTGATCTCCAGCCATGGCCCCACAAAGCCATTCTGCAGGATGCCAAAACCTGTTTCTCTCAAGGCCCTCATTTCTTCTGCTGCTGCCCTTCCCTCCTACACTTCCCCAGCAGCCTTTGAGCCCAGATGCTGCTGAGCTCTCGCCATCCTCGCTGCTCTGCAGCTCCCACACATCCATCAGCTCAGGCTCACTGGCATTTAGCAAGTTCAGCAGAGCTCCCTGCCCTGCTGCTCTCTGCAAGCTCTCTGCCAGCACAAACTGCTCCAGGGCCCCAATGCCATGGCCAGGAATGGGGCTGGAGGCACTGGGGTAGATGCACACCCATCCTTAGAATCCCATCATTTCTGGCCCAGCAGAAGAGCCAAATCAGGACCTGTTCAAACTTGACTAAAAGGGTCAGTTCCTGTCAGGGCAAAAAGTCTCAGAGCTTTGGCAACAGCACATAAACTGAAAATTTACCACACTGGACTTAGCTTGGTCTCCTTACCTTACATCCATTTCCCTCTGAATTGAGCTCTTTCCTTCTAATCTCTTCCTCACAGCCAGTGCCAGGTTTCCCAGTGTCCTGCTCTCTACTCCATATCTTGCTTGGCATGGGAGAAAGAGAGCTCTTGGGGAAGGGAAGCAAAGGCTTGGAGGGAAGGAGCATAGATGGACTTGCCAGGGAAAACTTCTTGGCAAGAGGATAGGCAGTCAGGCCTGCAAAGTGGAGACGCAAAATGGATCAGAGCCTGCAATGCAAACCTAAAGCTCTGTATTTCATGGGACAGATTCCTTGGAAACTTCTAAACTGCTGCACAGGGAAACATGCTCCTGCTGGCAGACACTTGAGGCAGGGCAGGGGAAATCCCTGACCCCCTTCCCCAGAGCTGCCACAGGCACAGCCTGGCCTCTGGGCTGCCCTTGGACAGCAGGGAGCCCAGAGCCCTGTGCTCTCCAGCAATGGCTCAGCTGCACATGCACCCTGGCTGCTCCTCTCCCTGCCCCACAGCTCAGCAGCCCTACAGCTCCCTTCAATCTTCACCTTTTCCTTCAGTGGTCCTTCCTTTTCTGCTGAAATCCATCTTCAAACCCGTGCTTCTGCCAGGCAGAAGTGTCTGGGTTTGAATCTGGGATGGCTCTCGGAGTTGGCAGCGATGGGAGCTCGGTCCCAGCCTCAGAACAAGGCCGGGTGACTCCAATCGCCAGCGCTCGGCACACAGAGGCAGAGCCAGACGCGTCTGCTGCCGCTGGGGCCGTGTCAAGCACAACCTGCACCAGCCCAGCCTGGGGCTGCCCTTTGTGACACGCTGCCCATGCTTCTCTCGTTTCCATGGCTGCAAAACCCCACCCCAACTCCATCCCCTTCCATTCCCTTCCCTAGGGCAGCCAGCCCTAAGCCCAGCCAGGCCAGGCATGAGGCTTTCACACTGTCTAGGATGTAGACCCTTTCCAAAGTTACTTTGCAAGGCCTTTCATTCTGTACTTCCCACTCAGTTCTGGATTGCAGCTTGTTGGTGTGGGATTTTGTTTCATTCTCTTCACATCAAACAAAGAGGAGGGACACAAACAATCGCACTAGACAGTGGAAGTAAAAGAAGTTTTGCACTACCCAGTAGATGACCCCAGAATTCAGCTGGCCAAAACCAGTAGGCTGTCTGAGTATGCAAACGTTCCTCTTTTGCTGTGCATCATTGTTCTAGGGGTTTATTCTCTGCTTTCTTTTCACCACAGACACCCAAACCGAAATTAACACAACCAATCTCAAAACAATTTTGATCTTGGCTAATACTGTCAATTCAAAATGTCCTTAATGGAAATAGCTGATGGCCAGTCATTCTGAAGTACTCTCCAAAACAGCTTTTGGAACTAGGAGAGCTAATTCTTTACATGGCTTCTCAAAGGATAAAATCATGTGGCAGCCAAGCACTGTGAGAGGAAATCCTGTATAAAAATGGGATTGCTTGCCCTCTGTAAAATGTCCCAGTCAGTAATAAAAGTTGGAAAGCCATGGATTAATGAGAGAAGTCATTCCAAGTCCAGAATTATTCCAGAAAAAAATTTAACTACTTCAATGAGCAGTACTTCTCCCTAGCTGCATTCTGCATTGCAGCTGCAGATCAGCAATGAAGGAGTCATTCCAAAGGGGCCATAACCAGGATTTGAATAAATTAACCCTAAGCCAAGGAACCAGGGGATCTCACCCCTTTCTCAGCATCAGCAGAATTATTTCTTCAAGTCTCATCTCCCCTATCATTACACGCCCAGAGATGCCAAAGGAACAACAACAGTGTCAATGAGGCTTTCAACTTGAAAGCATTGCCTGACACAGAAGCACCAGAAACTGCATTTTGTCTGGCACAATTCCACTTGTCAGGGATCAGGCAAGGCAGGGACAGGCACAAGACCCAAGGCATCTCCTGCCCCAGCCTCAGCCTGCAACACTGACACAGGCACAGACAGCCAGGGAAGAGATTTGTCACTGTGAACCTGCCAGAGGTGGCTTTGGGACTGTGCTGTCAGAGGATGACAAACTCACACCCTGCCTAGGATGCATCCATTTGGAAGTCTCCTTCTCCTTCATTGGAAATATCAAAAGGACTTTCTGTCATAGGAGGTTTCCCTAGTCCTCCCAGTGCAAAACCAGGCAATGTCCATGAATCTCCTTCACATCTCAGAGGATTCAGCTCAGAAACAGCCCCAAGGAAAGCTTTTCTCCTTCAAGGGCAGGTGAAAGGAGTGGGAACATTCCTCAATTCCTGCTAAATGCCTTCCTTTTTGAGTCTCATTTTGACACCAGAAATGCTACAGGGAGATAAAAGTCATGTGCAGGATGGAGAGGAATGTTTTCTTTTCAGCGCTGCATTTCCAGGATGCCAAGTCACCACTCCAGCTCCTGCCACTCAACACTTCACACTGGAGGAGTTTTCACTGCTCCACAAGAGAACACACCCAGGGACTGGGCTCTGGGGGAATCCACTGAGCCCGTCAAGGAATTGAAATGAATTCAAAGAAATTTTTAAAACAATGAGTTTCAACTGAGCTTTCCAAATGTAACCTCTGAGATCAGACAGCAATGGCTATTTTAGGACAGACATGTCCTGCAGATACTTGCATGTTCAGAGAACTTCTCTTGTCTTCTGCTGCTGGATCTTGGGCTGGAGAAAATGGAGGACAAAAGAACGTATGAGGAGGTAGAAAGAGAAGAGAGGAAATGGGTGTACCATGAAAGGAAGCAAACCTACTTAGCTTGGTAACTGCTATGAAGTAGGGAATGCAACACATTAACCCAAAGGGATGCAAAGCTGATTAATTGTCCTTAAGCTTTCAGTTGCTGCAGTCACACAGACCTGGCCAAGCTCTGGCTGAAACACAGCAGTATTTCTTCAACTTGCACCAGAACTCCCCAGTTCTGCTGCCTCTCCTTTTGGAGCCAAGTGGCTCCTGCAGCCTCTCTGAAGCAGCAAGAGCTGCTGGGCTCAGATACCAGTCTGGATGGAGGGCAGCTGCTTTTGTACTGCTGCCCAAGCTTCACTTTGCCTGCTCGTGCCTTGCACTGGTGACAGCCTCCTGCTACACGTGGGCAGAGCACTGCTGTCTCCTGAGAATGATTTTACACCTCCTGGCTCTTTCCAGAACACAATGGCTTTTTCCAACTCAGCTGCTAGGGAAGGATATTCACGTTGCACTTTCAAAGCCCTGCCAAAGATTTTCTATTGGAATGATACTTCTGTGTCTCCCTCTTTATGGTTATCACTTGGATAAGCTTCACAGCTTCATTTTATCAACCATATCCAAGCCAATATCTTTCCATCAGGTACAGTCCTAGAACTCTTCTCTACCACCTTGCCCTCTTTGATCTTAAGCTCAGATCTAAACATTAAACATCAATCAGATTATACATCTGCATCCCAAAACTTATCAGGGATCTCATTTCACAGTGGAGGCCCAGGCACAGAGAAATTACACCAGATGATTACAGAAGCAGTACCTGAATTTGCAGACACCTCTCCAGGAGCCAATATTTGCCCATGCATATTCTCCTGGCTGCAGAATTTAACAGTCTCAGGATCCAAAGTTCTGCAGGATCCAGGCCCATGCAAAACAGTTCCGAAATGATGCCACAACAATTACAGGGGGAAGCAAGAGCCAAATCCAGCAGAGGACCCTTCTGGAGGTGCTTTGAAGCCCTGCCTGCTCTTCCCCACCGCTACCTCTGCTCTTGGGGCATCGTTGTTGGGTTTGACATTGGATGGGCAAAATGCTGAATACACAGAGGCTGGCCTGAATGGGAGACTGTGCAAAATGTCCACAGGAGAAGGGAAGAGTGAGGTGAATAGCACACTGGAGCAGCAGACACCTTGGCTTACCTCATCTCCCAGGACTCCTGCAAATCCACCTGGGGAGAGCTTGGCAGGGACCCCACAGCACTGTCGAGAGGGAGACTGCCTGCCTTGCGTATTGGGGGGATCAAAGGCAATCCAAATGATGCCTTCTTCATTTCCCCACCACTGGGATATGGCAAGGAAGCCTGGAAAAAGTAGAACACACTGCTCAGATCAAGCATCCAGCCTTGCCCCCAGTCCTCCCTCAGGACTTTTACATTTGCCCTCAACTGGAACCTGGCAGGAATAAACAGGTCAGATTAATGGAGCTGATTGGCCCA